TAAAAAAACACCGATGGTTGCGTGCTAAAATTATAGTTACAATGGCAGTCATGAAAATACATCCGAGATTCAGATTTTTCACACCTTATCGAGAGGCAAGATTGAACGCTGGGCAGTGAGCAAGGCCAAAAGAAATCTCGGATTTTAACTGTTTTATCCACTCCGTTAACGAGGGGAATTAATTGCTGTAGTTACGAGCCCATAATTCGATAACGCTCGCAATGAGAGATGAAGATAATGAAGCTGCATTATTAACAGGGAGCCCGCACGGAGGAGATGCATAATACGATGTTGCCAAATTCAATTATTTTATTTTTCGTCGATCTCGCATTGTGCAGCGCGTTTATTGCGAAAAGAGCGACATCAAACGTATCAGAGAGCACTTCCTGAGAAGTTTCCTTGGCATAAAGAAAACACCAAAACATGTAATGGCAGAAAGTTGCTGAGTTCTCCCTTAAAAATACATTAAGAGTAAAAATTAGGTAACTTGAGATATAATTAGATCTGTTAAATTATTAAAGGAGACTAGGGGATGCGCTTCCTAACCGCTTCGCGGTCCAACTCCGAAGCGCTTGGCGCCAGTGGCGTGGCGTGAATGATCGATTATCGATATTTCCCCATTTGAAGCTGTGGTAAAGAAGCGATTATTAAGGTGTTTGTTGCGAACACCCTGTCTATCGATCCTTTTCCATAAGTTCAAATAGCAGATCAATCGATTTATCGCAAAGCACGCCACGCCACTGCTTGGCGCCTCGGGCGTTAAGCGTTAGGTACGCGTTAATATTATGATTTTACATTATAGAGTAAGATTCGCAACAACTTGGACGAAAATGATCACTGGTGCATTTCCATCCTTGAAATGAGCAAATTTACATTTAGACGTATTTATGCTAAAAGGAACTATGTTATATGCAAATCCTACGCACAAAGTTCCTTTTAGCGTGAATACGTCCACTTATGTTAAGCAGATGCGAGAGTTGCTTCACATTATCGATGAAAAACTGGGCCCGATACACGACGTCTACGATTTGGTTACGATTACTTTCAATTTGCGAAATTCCATAATTTTTCAACTGCTGCCGCGATTGCTCAAGACGAGTGAATAGCAAATGTACCGTCTTCGGCGTAGACACATGATGACGTATATACTATTAGGTATCCAATGTATGTGCAATGTAGCACAGAATAGAAGACAGTGGTGTGGCGTGAATAATCGATTATCGATATCTTGCCATTTGAAGCTATGGTAAAGAATCGATTACTAAGGTGTTCGCTGCGAACACCCTAATAATCGATCTTTTTTCATAGGTTTGAGTGGCGTATCAATCGATATATCGCAAAGCACGCCACGCCACTGATAAAAGAAAATAGACGACTATGCTGCCGTGCAAAGGAAAAACGCCGTATGAGCCTCCAGGCGTTGCAAAATTTCCCCTGGCAAATCACAAATTTTCAAGATACTTTTTTTAATATTTGTCGACCAATTTCTCAGATAATTTAGTTTGTGATTTGATCTGAAACTTCTGAAAATTTCAAGGGAAAATATTCACTATTTTCCTCAAAAATAAACATTTCCTTGAAGGAAATTTGGCAACTCTCGAATGTTCATGCGACGTTCTCCCTTAGCACGGCTGGAAGAGAAATATTCGGCATCAAAGCGACACGGCTGAGGAACTTTCAATTTTGTTCCTACTTCAAAAGGAGCCCCCATGGACTAGTTCCTGCGCTTGGATTACATTCCCCTCTGGTTCTGATCAATAACCAGCCCCAGGCAACCCATCCTTGAGACCATCAAACTCGCTTGGAATGACGATCGCTTTTAAAGCCGTTGAGTCGCAAAATGCTCTATGTTCGGCTAAACTGTCTATTTTTTATGATTATTATCCACAATGGACGTATTTATGCTGAAATGAACTATGTGAACAGGGTTTGCGTGTGACATAGTTCCTTTTAGCATAAATACGTCCAAATCGATGGCCAAAGTGGCGAAACCACGTATCTCCATTTACGACGTTGCAGACTTTCTATCATTATACTTTATTTTTCTTTTGGCAAATTAGTAAACATGATTTCAGGAAAACTCCCTTGATGTTTTCCTTTCTGTTGGTGGGATTTTCTATTTAAATT